TGGGCACTAAAAGAGGGTGGTTGAATTCTAGTGGGGCAGCTGAAGATCACACCCCTAGACAGACTAGTGATGATCCAGTTATTCAAGTGGCTCCTTCGGGGGTGAACGCTGCACATTAATAAATGCCCCCTCCTGCTGAGTCAAAAGTCAAAAGATAGTCAAAAGATCCTGACCAATCTTTTGTGAAGTCAAAAGATTGGTCAGGATCATCATGATGAGAAGATCCTAGAGATGCATCACAACAATGTAGGGAGCTGAATTGGGTGAAGTCGCTCAAAAGGAACAATTCAAGTTGTATAAAATTGTTCATTGTTAAGTGCAACATTACTATATATAACACAATGAATTTTCTTCAAAAGTGTACTCTAAATTAAATGTAATCTCACAGTTCTCTCTTCTGTCTATGTGGGATGATTTTTTTTATATATAGAACCGCAGATTGCTTTTGCTTTGTTGCCAATGTTTATATTATCTATAAGAATAAGCTGATGTTTCCGTTGTTGAATTCTGTTATACACTAAAAGCCTACAGCATAACACAGTGCACGACACTGCTTTTGTATCTATGTATGAAGACACATGACTCACACATTACATTTGTGCAGCCTCTGGAAAGTAACAGCTGAAGCCAATAGCGGAATGAGAAATACAGCACAAAGAAAAAACATGTGGGAAATGATCATTATGTGCCTTGCCGACTCAAATGACTTTATTAAGCTTGTAAACTGATGGTAGATGTGGAAAACCAAATGTTACATTTCCAAGCTTATTTAATTCACAGTGCAGGGAACAATGTGCTTGGAAACTTATAAATTCCAGTAACCAATAGCAAGCAAACAGCATTTACGTTACTGATGACCATATGTTATATAGGGTACTGCATTTTACATGTTATCAAAGAAGCCTAACTAGAGCTGATGTATAAAAACACAACTAAAGGAAGGTTGATTGAAAGTCATTTGAACCTGGCATATTCTTCTTATAGTGACCTAAAGAGAAACGTAACCCATATCTTCAAAGTAACAACAAAGTCACCTTTAGAAATGTTAGTAATGAGATTCTACAAACAAATACTTCTAGATAATTGCCGGCTTTTTATTTTTTGCATAACTTATGTTTCTTTTCTTCCCCAGTCTTCTGACAGAATATTTTTTTTACTAAGGGCAGGTTACTAGATATCTCTTTACTTCCTGGAACTCTGGCACATGTGACTAGGATATTTCACCATGCACATCATCTCAGGGGAGGAAAATGCCTTTCTCTTAGATCTCATGAGATTAAGGATGAGGTTTCCTAGCAATGCTCCGCTGATGTAACCTTCCCAGGATGCAATGCTTGGGCACATTACATCATTTGTGCCAAAGTGGACCAGGAAGTAGAAAAAAAGAAATTATTTGTAAGCAGAAAAAGTAAGTGTAAGATGATTTCGTATCAGCATGAAGAGCTGTATGCTGATGGGATTTTTAGTCAAAGGGGGTAAAGATCCAATTTAAATCAGTATTGACTATCCCTACTTAGGCTTTTTTTTTTTTTTTTTTTTACTGTATTTCGTAGTGCTACAACCTGCAATTAGAGTGAGTTCTATTCTAATTTTATGTCAATCATATATACAATAATTTATTTTAGTTTCATTGACTTTTGTGTACAAAAATGTTTAACCTTTTAAAGTGTTAACAAAACCTATAATAAACTATTCAGTTTATAAACAGCTCACTGGTGTCAATGAACAATGATATGAACATATTCAATGAACAAAAACTCTACTACAGCCTGTAACTCAAGACACTGTAATTTCCCTGTTGGCACCCTAATCTTGCCTCTCAAATAGCAGAAGCTGACAATCACAGCTTGCACATCAAAGAAAGTTGTCTTTCCGCTGACAATCACATATTACTACTCCCTGCAGGAAAGTAGGCTTACATTAGTAGCCAGGGGTTGGAGATCAGTGCTTTGCTGTTGACTGTTGATAAAAAGTCAACATTTGCATAAGCTTTGTATGTTCCGAGTTGCTCCAGTCAACACTTACACAAGGCATGTAACAGTGATGTGCCAACCACCAAGCACATGCTTGTTCATACTGGGAAGTAACATGTAATCTCTTCACTTCCAGGGGTTAAGCAGAGTTGCAGGTAGGTATAGAAAAGAATAGTTTGCGGTACTGGTGAGGGTGAGGGGCATTAAAAGTAATCTATTTATTTGCCCTATATGGCCAAAGTACATGTTTGCTTTAGCCTATCTCCAGGAAAAAACAAAAACCTGCAAGGGATAACTGCTTGTTTATTTCTAGGGGACCTGTGTAAAGTGTGAAGGACTTTTATTTACCTGATTACCGCTCCTACAATACAAGCTCAGGGGGCCCGCTGATGTCATCATGTACAATGCCGGGCCCATAGCCCTGCATTATCTATGAGGATGCCGAGGGACAATCCACAAGCCGGAGAGTAGAATGGAGGAAGCAGTTAATTCTAAGCTAGTGTTATAAATAATGGTCAATGAAAAGTCAAAACATAATGGGAATGTGTAGGACAAGGGTAGGCAACCTTGGAACTCCAGCTGTGGTGAAGTCCCATGAGGCATTGCAAGACACTGACAGCCACAGGCATGACCCCCAGAGGCATAGACACAATTTGATTTGTAGTTTCACCCCAGCTGAAGTTCCAAGGTTGCCTACCCCTGGTGTAGGATGACCTACAAATTTATATGTCATAGTATGTACCTTAAGCGGTCCTGTTTGCATTTAAAGTACAATGCATTTTCTTCACAGTAAAAGTAAATTGTGTTATTTTTTACATTTTAACACTGTTTATTGTGCAAACCACATACTGTTAGATCCACAAGTTATATATAGCTAAACTGGCCGCAAACTACAATAAATGTGTCCAGACATATTTTATGTCACCAGTACTCCAATTCAAACATGAGAAAATCCATTTAATGACAAAAACTTGTCATACAGGGCAAGCGCTTTCGGGGCCTCACAGGGTCCCCTTCATCAAGCTCAGAATGACTGTCATGACCCTGTCGGGGCCTCACAGGGTCCCCTTCATCAAGCTCAGAATGACTGTCATGACCCTGTCGGGGCCTCACAGGGTCCCCTTCATCAAGCTCAGAATGACTGTCATGACCCTGTCGGGGCCTCACAGGGTCCCCTTCATCAGGCTCAGAATGACTGTCATTCTGAGCCTGGTGAAGGGGACCCTGTGAGGCCCCGAAAGCGCTTGCCCTGTATGACAAGTTTGTGTCATTAAATTGATTTTTCATGTTTGAATTGGAGTGCTGGTGACATTTCTGAACTTTATGCTATTTCACGGTGCCAGCCGTGCTCATTCCGAGCACCCACCTGAACTATACTGTTTTTTTCAGGATACATTTTGATATTTTAATTTAGGGCTCACACATCAATAGGCTCCCTTCCCCCATTGAAATTACTATAGCTCAATTCTGCAAGTTACTTGTTGTGATGACACTGTAGATACTGCATGTTAACTACACAATAGGACTGCCGTTTGCACTATTAATTGCTTCTCACATCTCTGACCTTATTTTAAATGTAGACAGCACATTATATCAACAAAGGAGGTAATTCACAAGACATTATATGATATATCCATCAGTCATAAAACCTAAATCTCATTTTAAAACAGCACAAAACAACATGTAGATAAGTACTGCGCTAGTTCCCTTCAAATCAGGTGATTCGTAGCCTCTCATAAATAGATCTTGATATTCACATTTAGAGCAAGACACAAAAGTCGTCGCTTAGCAACATAATCTTCATAACTGGCCGGGTTCTTAACTTATAAAAGCATCAGAAATGTGGCTGTCTGCCTGCTGTAGACATTTCTAGAAAGGACTGGAGCAATATCCAATTTGCACATATGCTTATTAGATTATTAGCATATTTCACTTGATCGAGCATCAAACCCCATTGTGAGGAAACCAAGGTGCAAGGTGATGCCATGTGGTTAGTGGCAATTTATGTTGGAATGTGTTTAATTACTCCTGTTCTAAACACTAGCAATAAAGCTTCAGGATAAGTAGGTAAACTGCACATAAAAAATACGACCTCCTCCCCCCAAGCCTTCTGATGTACTTCTGCCTGTCTAAGCTCCAGACCCCTGTGCTGCCTACTCTCAGTATCGGGTTTAACTATTCCTTACACCTTTCGTATATCTGGCACCACGTTCAATACCGGGCTCTCTTCGATGTCTCATCAGGTTTTACGTGACCTGTCACATTCACTGAGCCTACTGCAGTTATTACATGCAAGAATTTATTCTACCTACCTGAGAGCCTACCTTCGCAGTTAACGTCCGGCACAAAGGTCGGAGATGCATTGCATTTATGTACATTGGTCTAATATGAACCTTACATGCACTGTTTTGTAACCCTAATCCATGTTTACCTCAATCAAAATGTAGATCACAATCCATGTACCTGAATGTCACCTGCTTGTTATTACCTGCCATTTTTGTAAATATCTACTGTTGGGTTTTATATGTGGTAAATTAATTTATAAAAAAGACTCATGTCTTTCTTATCACCTTTTAAAAAGGGCAGTTTTGGTAGGGAGCCGGAATTTGGGAATGTGAACTAAAATGTTTTTTTTTATAAGACAAAAATCAGGGCTACATTTTGTTCTCATGCTCGATGTACACATTCATGACGATGTTCATAGGAAGAGCAGAAATGAAGGCAATCTTCTAAGCTTCATCATCTTTTAAAGCCGTCCTGGCCATAAACACTAATAGGCACTGCAAGTAGCTAAAGAACAAACACATTTTTGCACAGACATTATTAGTGCAGATAATGCCCTGAATATACATTTTTATATCAACAAGGAGACAAAAACCATAACTGCTCATCATCATAAACCATCCTGAAGAAGCCTCATAATTGTTGTCATTATAGGAAAAACAAGTATTTAAGGAAGGTATATAGTTATTTCTCCTTATGTGCCAAGAGTAGCCAAGCTAAAGCATAATTCAACTGTGTACGTACCTTTGGTGGATATAAAGCAAGCAACCTCTTTGGATGAATTGTCACTGCCTCTCCTATAAGTCTGAATGACCTTCCAACTCCTGGACAGGCTTTCCATGCATAGTAACTGGTATGGAGGCAAACCAGTGGTCTCACTCTACACAGCCTGGCATCTCAATGACATCAGCTCTCTAAATATAGATTTAACACTTCAACCTCGCCTATGTTTTAGGCTAAGCATCAATGAAACATAAACTAAAGAATGTCTTTATTTTTTTTATCGGACATCATTTATGGATCTTGATAACAACGGTAGGGAGTAGAACTGTTGTCTTGTGGTTAATTCCTAAGATCAGAGTATTTTTCAGTGTGTTAGACTCATAGCACGTTGTTAGAACAATGTGCTGTGGTGTCACATGGTATTTCTCAGTTTGAAGGTCATCTGTCAAAACTTTTTTTTTTGTAACTTGAACTGCACTTGTGTTCTGTCATTGCTGCTGCCTTTTGCTCTGCAGCCCAGAAATACTCTTGCCAAAAAGCCTTTGTATGTGAAATTAACTCCGCAGTCCTTTTAATGAAAGAGAAAGCATCTTTTGGTAATTTTAAGTAAGAATAAATACATAAAAATGTATGTTATACCTGCAAGTGTCCAATGTATATGTGTGTATGTGTGTCAGATCATAAAAAAGGATTAGGCAATGAGCAATGTGGAAGGCTGGTGACGCAACCCTTCAGTGGTGACAATATACCTGCAATATGGGGTATAACAACTAGACATGTGCGATTCGTTTCGTTCCGAATCGAAATTCGGACGAATTTTCGGAAATTCGGACATTCGGATGTATCCGAATTCCGAATTACAGACATAACGAATGCAAACGAATCCGAATTTCCATTTCCGAAATTCGGTAGCGTTAGTACGAACGTTCGTTTCGTTTTCTGTTCCTATTCGTTTCTTATTCGTTTCTTATTCGTTTCGTTCGTTGGAGCAAAGTGACATTAGAGAACGAGAAAAATATTTTTTCCCCCTCAAATGTCACTTTTGCTGCAAACGAACGAAAACGAATAAGAAACGAATAAGAAACGAATAAGAACAGAAAACGAAACGAACGTTCGTACTAACGCTACCGAATTTCGTCCGAATCCGAATTCCGAATCTGAATTGACTTTCACACCCGAATCCTGAAAAACTAAATAACACAAATCCGAATTTACAACGAAACAAAACTAAACAAATTTTTTGGCAGTGCACATGTCTAATAACAACTATATTTACTAATATTTTTCTCTACAGGTTTTTTTTTTCAAACTTTCATGCTGCTGTTTATTATGGGGAAGGGGGGCCAAGATATGTTAATCAGACCTTGCTTTTTACTGCAGATAGTAATTCATTTTTTTCAATGGGTTATCTCACATAGCTCATTATCGTTGCACAATAAAATGGTCCTGAACTTTCTATTATATAGGGAGCATCTAGAAATGTAAATTGTGCCTAAGCAGTAACCAAGAAATTTTACTTTTAATCTTGATTTCTTCCCAAAGAAAAACAGTGTACTTCCTGATGACACTGTGCCTAGGCACTCTTTAGCCTTGTAGCTGTATATCTGCAGTGTGAGACCTACGGAACAGTGCATTTGACAGCTAGTCAGCAGCAGCAGGGTTTGGTGATGTCACCACTGTGTTGTTCACTTTTGTCCTTGCTGGGGGGTAACCTGCAGGGTAGGGATCTCCCTGCTAGAGATGGGCTTTGGGGTCAGGTTGACTACAAGTTCGCCCTGAACCTTTTCTGCTTTTTCACAGAACATCAAATGGGCTAACTAAATGGGCAAATTTGGCCTGTTTGCCCGCCCAAAGCTTTGGCTACTGCAGACAAAAGTAATTTATTTATGGCTGTGGTTAGTGGCTGTATCACTACTGTAACTCATTCACATGGGAAGAGGGGTGGATATCTGGGGGCCTTCTTATTGTAAAGACAGCTTCCATCTTCACACAAACAGACCCCCACATCCACTGAGTGAGGAATTTGATGGTAAGGCCCTTGTCCCCATCAAAAAGAGTACATAGTGCCTTGCTGGGCAGGAAGTCTTCACCATCCTCTCTGGCAAGGTTCCCCCTGATGTTAAGGGGGTGTAGTCTGGTATGGTTTAGGAAGCATGGGGGCACCTGCTTACTGCCACCCTTTAGTGGCCAGCCACCCAACATGCTCAAATAAGGGTCTGGTGGGCCACCAGATATCCAGTCCTCCCCCCTACATGAATGAGTACCCCTTGTTTTTTTATTTGCATAAGAATTTAAATAAAATATAAACACACAGACACAGCAGTAAAAGTCCTTTATTTAAAAAACAAAAACAAATAAACACTGTCCCCCTTTGTAAATCCAACATCAATCATGTTGTCCATCAGTGTAGATCCAACATCAGTCACAATGAATGACGCCATAACATACTGCCACTTCTCCCACTACTACTCCTGTTAAAAGTGGCAGCTCCCTTTGAGGCTGCTGAATGTCAACAAACCAGCAGAGGATACTGGTTGATGTCACTGACCAAAGAAAAAAAACTATTGCTACTTGCTACATTACTTTATCTGTCCAGTTTCGTTCTCGTTATAAAAAAAAGCATGGTGTCTCCCTTAAAATCCATACCCGCCCCTTATCAACTGGGTTTTGTTGAATGACATTGTTTTATCCTTTACAATATAACTTCAGCCAAATAATTTTCTGTTTAGTTTTGTCATAGGACATAATGGGAATGGACATTTCCAATAGTAAGACAGTAGTATACACTTTACAGATGTGTTTACTGCTGTTGTGACCCTGCTAGAAAGGCTAAGCCTTGCCAACTTTATCCAAAAGAATAACATTGTTTTGACTGGAGTTCTCCTTTAAATAACTCTGTTTACTTGCTGCTTAGTCCATAAAATATTTTCTTCTTTAACAGGATGCCTTTTGTAGGGTAAAAAGTAGTGTTCGATTTGTAAATGAGAAATACGTAACCACTGATAAAAGAAAGTACGATCTAGGTTCTCTGGGTTTTAGAAACCTGGGAATTCTGACCTCAGTATGCAGTTGTGGGAGTCTTTAGAAAGTGGTTATTGGCTTTCCTTGCTGTGGTCATTTCACAGTGCTCCTCTAAGATTTGAGGCCAGTCACCACTTCATTTAGTTAGATCATATTTTGCAGATACTGGTTCTCTTAAGTGACCACAGGACCAGCTGTCACACACTTTCTAGCACTATGCCAGGGTCTCTGTCTCTAGATTATCTGCATCTGCATCCTTCAAGGGAAAGTTAATGTGCTTGTCTATAATTTCTACCCTATAATTGTTATTATTACAGGCACATATATAGCACAATAAATATATACAGCATTTTATATACTATTCATTTACATCAGTGTTTGCCCTCAAGGTGCTTACTGTCATAACACTGTTCGGCTGACAATTTTCCAGTATGTCCCTTTGGCAAAAGTAAATCTAAGGATCAACTTCTGTTGAGGGGATGGGGCCACCTACAGATTTAATTTTGGCCAATTCCTGCTAAAACTGCCACAATTTGCTCCATGTGTACCCAGCCTAAGATCCCTGTCGCACCAATTTAGATAGGAGCCAAATAACCTATCAGCATGTCTTTGGAGTTTGGTAGGAAACCCAACCTAGCACAGAGCAATATCTGCACTCCATGCAGATTTTGTGCAGGCCAAACGTGGGTTCAAACTGGGGACTGTTATAAAGCAGAAGTACTAACCACTGAGCCACTGTGCTCTTTGTTACCTAATCGGGTTTAGACGACACAAAATGGTCTTAACAGGTCTAAAGTCTGTTCTATAGCTATCCTTAAACTCTGCTAATGATTTTAGATGATTGGGGGTAACTATCTTTCCACAGACACTGGTGTTTTTGAGATTTTTTGAGTATTGTGCTCAGGACTTCCTGAGACAGAGAGAGGAGAAACATGCAAAGTGTGGTCTGCTATATAAGTGAATAAAGCATCCTTTTCCAGTAAGACTGGTAAAACTAGATATTTTCATATCTAATTTCTTTTATATGCATTAGGCACATATTTATTTTAGAAGAGTTGCTAGGGAACTGTGTGGCCACAAAGGTTTGAGGTCATTAGACAAGGTTTATTTGAGGGAAACTAGTGTATTAACACACCTTTACTATTATAAATTTATATGCAAGCGATTTTGTATTTTATATACTGAGTGTAGATTTCCCCCCCCAGTGGCTATATGTATGTCATGCAGTGTACTCAGCATTTCTGTAGAGTAACTGTGAGATTACAGGAAAAAACAAATGTATAAAAATTGCCGTCTGGAGACGGCAACCCGCAGATGCTGCGGTGCCGTCCGTCCGTTTTTTTACTACGGGCGGACGGCAAGAGGTTAAAGTGTATCTAAACCCCAAACCACAAAATGTCTTGCAGTTTACCAATCCTTAAATGTGGTAACTGCATTAGTTTTCTTTTCAAGGTTTTTTTTGTCCTTTATTTTCACCTGGTGATCTGGCCAGTAACACGCTTCCTGCCTTAGGGTGGCTCCACTCTATAGAGGAGCAATGGAGCCACCCTTGGACAGCAGCATTGCCACCATGTGGAGAGGATAGTGTTAGATACACAAGCCGAATTAGATGGACTTAACTTAAAAATTGAAGTGCAAACTCCAGCTAACACTTTTTTAAGCAGTTACAGCAACAGTTTTGTTATTTTCGCTGTGGGATGAAGGTTTTACATAAATGAATAAAATCTGACCATTGTAAGCACCCCTGTCAGTGTTAAATGGTTTGTCTCAACCTTCTAACTGCCACCTTTGCTGGACAGTCTCTTAAAAGAAGTTGAAAAATTAAAAAACTTACTGGCTAGATCACCAAGTCAAAAAAAAGGGAAAAGAGCTTAAAAAAGGAGATTGAATTGAATTGCAGCCACCACAACTAAGAATTGCTAAGCTGCAATATATCTGCATGGAGTTTGCATGTTCTCCCTGTGCTTGTGTAGGTTTCCTCCATGTACTCCGGTTTCCTCCCACACTCCAAAGACATGCTGGAAGGTTAATTGTCTCCTGTCTAAATTAGCCCTGTATGTATGCTTGTGGGATAGAGACCTTAGA